GCCTCGTGTTACCGGCGATCACCGATCGACCGTTTCATCCGAGATACGTCTCCGAAGGCGTCGCGGCGCTCACTGCGGAGACTTCGCTGCGTACCCGCCCTTATAGCATCGTGTTGCGCTCACACCGCGCGTCCCCACCCCTCTCCGCCGTCGCTTCCACCCCTCCCGAACCTTCTCTTCGAGCGTTTCTCTCGCTCCTCCGCCCTTCGTTTTGACCCTCTGCGCCGTACCGCGAACCTCGTGCGCCCCTCGCGCCCACCCGCAACGTCGCCCCTCAGCACACCTCGCCGTCACCCACCTTACAGGATAACGCAGGCGTTCTGGAATAAGCGTTCAAAAGACCAGCCGATGCATTTTTCACATATGCTTCGGCACTTCGTGCGCGAGAATCGAACTTGCTTCGTCTCTTTCGCTGATCTTCAAGAATATTGGAGATAGGGGTGACAATTTTTTTCTCCTTTTTTGGTGAGTGTATTTGTATTTTGTAACAATTATGGTTTCTTTTTTTAGCGATGGATAATGTTTAATTTGTACAGTAGAGTAGACGATGTGTGTAGAGTGCAGGGTTTCGTTCGAGAGAGTAGGTTGCGAAAGGGTTAATCTCGTTGATTAGGCGCCGGTGGAATTTTGTTGTAATTTCGTTTCGAAGGGGTTGAATGGAGATTTGAGTTGGAGTTCTCTAGTATGTTGATAGATGCAAGGGGCTGCAGTGTGGTGGATCGCAGGGTTCAGTGGGAAAGGTGGGACTCCGTCTAGACCGATTCTAATTTACTCGAACCCACTGGCACTCGCGTTATCCCGCTGTAAATCACTTGGACGCGCTCCAGTGGCCGTCATACCGCGCGTGAACGTCACGCTAACCTTCTCCGATTCATTCCAACTCACGGACGAGGACCGGTTTCAATTTAAAGGAACTTCTGGGTAGGACTCGTTGTAGATCTTGCAGAACCGTTTCAACTCGTGTTAACTTTTAACACTGTCACGAATACCTACGCGTGGATTTTCTGTTAACTCGCGAACAGAGAGAGAGAGAGAGAGATAGAGAGAGCTAGCGTTCAGTGCTCTATGTGTATTAACGTTTAGTTGGTACGCTGTAATTCACGTTAACGCCCATTGGACACACTCTGATTCGCACAGACCCACGCTCAATTCTCGAGATTTACTCTCTTGATGGTAGAGAGCCGGCTGACCAACAATTTGCATTAATTCTAAGTGTTGATGCGATATCTAAACTGAATTTTCGCAATTCACCATTTACATTAATTATAACGTACCCAGCTCATTCATATTAATATCAGATCTACAAGCTAGTTTTCGAAAGTCACCGTGAATTTGCATCAATTCGTTGCAGAACACATTTCTAACTTACGTTTGTTATGAGACCTACGGTGAAATTCCGGAAATGCGTCTTATATCAAATTCACCGTCAATTTGCATGGAATTCACACTTTGCATTAAATCAAAGAAGAATCGATTTTCATTTTACATTTACTACGAACCCGAGCGTTCAATTTTCTACATCTACGTTATACCAAATTCCCTATCAATTTACGTCAACTCGAACATTCGTCAACTCCATATGGAGTCTATTGTTGGGGCTAGAATCGACATACCTGTTACCAAAGCTTATCCTCGAAATTCATCTTACCAATAATCAACCGGAATTCATATTCGATCGATTATGTCGAAATTACCGCCGATTCCCAAATGCAATACCACGGAACGGTACATCAACCTCTGAACTTACGTCGAATCGATATTTAACCCGTGCAAAAACACTACATCTCCTATCAATTATACCACCAATTATCACCCATCGCGAATTTCCATTAATTCTACGGTAGAATCTATATTCAATCAACGCTAATCCATATCCAATTCTAATACCAGGCTCACCACCAATCAGCGTCGACCACAGAGATCCACTCCTCGATTCATACTAATCCTCCAACAAGTCCGACAACTCACATTGTCTCTTTCGAGCCGTACAACGTCTAATTCACATAGACGTGTACTCTAACTCACGTCAATACGCCTCGAATCCATGCTGCAGCCTCCGCGTAGATCCGCTCGAATGCGCGCCAATCCGCCTCGACTCGCTTGGATCCGCCCGCTCGTACGTCTCTACGCTTGTCACGTACCTGGATGGTATATAACATCGCGTTCACGTCTCCCTGACGCAGACGTATGTCGGACTGTCGGTGGTGAGCGGCCCGCATCATTAATTTATCCATCGCTGAGGCTGCTCCGGGGCAAACGGGTCGTGACATCCAGGCTCATCAGACAACCAAAGGAAAACCCATGGGATGATACCACGAAAAAACATCCCTCTTACCCGAAGCGTCTTCGACTATTATCCTTTCCTCTTTCGAAGGAGGGTTGCTGCCTACTTTTCGCTACTCCTCCTCCACCCCTGCTTCAGCTTTTCGTTTACGTTTTCTTATTCTCCCGATGATACACGAGACGAAGGGGGGGAAAAACAGGAAGGAAATTTCAGAGGCGAGGTATCGTTTAAAAAGATGACGCGACTGTCAGGAGACACCGGGAGTTCCACTGACCCTCTTGACACGCTTCCGCTACTCTCTTTCTCTGCTCGAAGCGCCGGGGAAAAAAGAGGAAAGGTTATTTTTCGGCGGATGAGAAGTCTCTTTACGAGTCGTGAAAATCGTGCGTTGTGTCAGGTGCCTCTGGACCATTTTTCAGGAAGCACTTTTTCGGGGAATAAAATCTTCCGCTGGGACTGTTTGCACCCTTTCTCGTCTAGTTTCTCGTGTTATTATATTGCAAGGATACTTGTTTTACCGATTTAACACTTTCGCAGTCTTTTTATATTTCCCGAGTGATTCCTGACGAAAGTCTCTGTCACTTATTGTCAATTTTAAAAATTCTGTAATTTATAACCTTGTGCGAGACTGCTTCTAGAGCCCTAAAATGCACATAGGACATTCTAAGTTACAATTAGCCTTGTAACGATAAGAAGAGCTTCAGAACAAACGCCCGTAACTTCTAAGAAAATAGTTCTTTCTGACTCAAACTTTTTTCTTTATTTTATCAACGTGCTTTGTAAATATGGTTAAAAAATTGAAAAATTTCATCGAACAGTAGAGTCACAAAAAAATCCCCAAAATTGTCAAAAAGATGTGACCCCTTAAAATGTGAAAAATATATGAAAACACCCCCCTCCCCTAAAAAAAATGAAAAATTAACAGATAGAATATTTCAGCTAAAGGGTATTATCTTCTACACTTCGCCCCAGCAATTTTTAAAAAGCACTTTCTAGAAGCCACCAATGTATTTACTCAAGCCCCATTTTCCTCCATTTTCCAATGAACGGAAAGTTTTCCCGCGCCGATCTTTCTACCCAATTTTAATTCAACGCTGACGTCTGTCCGTCCCACGGACGATCATTCCTTAAAGAAGGGCTTTTTGATCTGACGTTCCATGACGCACCCTATCCTATTCAACCCCAGAGGCATCTCCGTTCTTCTTTTTTCCTCCCCTCTCCCAACGAACCGGTATTTTTCTCTTCCCAAGGGATGGAACGAAATTTAACGAGGCTGGGGTAACAAAGATCTCGTTTATTCGACAACCAGTCGCGCTCTCGTGCGGCACGCGATCGTGAACACGGGACGAATTCTACAAAATCGTCTATTCGTGTATATATATATACATATACACACATACATATACATATATATATATACGTATACAACTGGCACCAAGTTGCCTCGTTAAATCCTCGACTCTCGACATCTGCTCCTTGGCGAGAGAGAGCATTTCTCCGCGCGATACGCATGGCCTGAAATATTCCGGCGAATACGCAATTCAAGCCTGTAGAATAAATTTATTACAGCTAATATTCCCCCCGACGCGCCACACCTATTTTACCGAACAGGTGAACCAAGCGTCGTCAGATAAACGAATAGAGAAAAAATCAAACAACGATGAATTATTGTCTCGACGCACGCATAATATTACCGGTGAAGTTTTCGACGGAAAATCGAGGATACCGCGAGGATTTACGAGGCGCTCGTTCGCGATATCGGCCGGACACACATACACACATACACACAAACACGCGCGCACACACGCATATATAAAATTGTATAGAATTGATAAAATATAATCATCTGTGCACGATATGATACGTCTCGTGATTTGTTAAAATATACACAATGTTATTAACGCCGTGATTATCCTCGCTCTTTGTAGAATCTGTCGAATTTCTCAATTGTTTCAAATATATCTATATGTATATAATAGAATCTCTCTATAGGAGTACCATCGAACGATTGAGCATCACAAAGTATACGGAACGTGCGCAAAAATGCAGGAACCTTTCAGGGGAAAAAAAGTCGCATGTATCAAAGTTAGTTAAAAAGGCTTAACCGGCTAAAAACGCGCTCTAGTAGAAATATTCAACCAGGGTACACATTCCATCAACGAACATTACCATCACCACACGCTTATTGCACGATATGTAAAAAGAGAATAGACTGTGTTACAAAGTTGTACGGTTTTTTCTTTTTTTTTTTTTTTCCCACGGATATGATACTCTTCGCAATCGTACCATTTCTCTTTCTCGCTCGATTTGAAGATCGATCGAGCGTGTCGACGTGTATTACCGCGTAATACTTAAGGCATCTTCTCGTGATTTAGAGTTTCGCGCAAGGAAAGTCGCTGTTTCCCATTCACGCTCGGCCAGAACCGCAAGAAAAATCGAACAAAAAAGCTGGACGACTCGCGTGTAAAACGTCGAAAAATCGCTTCGAAAAATAGCACGATGTAGGGTAGCCACGTTAGTGGAAATTGGGGGGGGGGGGGGGAAGAAAAGTGTCCAGCTACGGGGTGACAGAAGGAGAGAGAGAGAGGAAAAGGATGTAGGATTGATGGAACAGTGAGAGTATCCCCCCCCCCTCCTAGCCCCATCGAAGAAAGAAATCCTCCTTCACGACCTTCTCCTCTAATCGTCGATTCGCATTTGGTCTCGCCTTTCGCCGCTATACCACGTCGTAATCCTCGGCCAGTATCTCGCCCAAGTGAGTCATCACGTAATCGTGATAATACATCATTATGCAAAGTGGTTGTCCGATAATGAGACTCGCCCACACCAGGATATTGCCCCATCTGGCGCCACAATGCTTCTCCACAGCCTTACTTATCATTGATAATGGTATCTGGAAAATCAATTAAAAAGTTTCTACCTAGCTGGTGGCTGGCTGCTGCAAATTAATATTAATCCCCCCTCATCTGACAGTTGGATCGCTTCCGTCAAAAAAAGAGAAGAAAAAAAAAAGGAAAAGAGAAGAACGATGATTCTTTTCGCGACGGGGGAAGTTTCGAATACTACGCGGCACCGGGGCATTGGATTTCTTTGCCGGTAGCTTGTATAATTGAATGTTTGACGAAGAAATTGCTCGATTAAAATTTTCTTTCAGCCCTACCGCGGAATTCTGATTAAACCTCGCTGGCTGAGGTATAGGTTTGATCATTTTAAACACCGGATTGTTAAAGAGATCTTTGTTTTTCGAGAAACGAAGGTTGGTTTAAAATTTCATTTAGTTCTTAGTTAACTCAAGTTAGCAGTGACCTAAGCGAGTCCTACCTGAGCCATCATTCCCATGAACGCCCACGTCCTGAAGGTCTTCAACGGCACGCTGACCAGATACTCGTGAAAGAAGGCGCTAATGAAGAACACGGTGGCCGAGGCTACCGATTTGCTGTATCCCATCTCGATGGCCGGTATGTACAGGTGTCTGTAATCAATCGAAACGAGAAACTAGAGAAAAGAGAAAACACTTGGAAGGTTTCAACCAGGAGACATTATGCGTCAGCTTAATAGAAAGGATCGAGTAGCGTTTCCCATGGGCGATTTCTCGCGCTCAGAAATTCCCCGGAGAACGTTTTCCGTACACAGCTCGCCCCTATTACAACGTCGCGCCACAAAGCAGCGGCTGCGAAAAAACTGGCGCTTAGATAAGGAGTAGCGCGTCGCGTTTAAGGATCAGCGCCGGGCTGGAATCGTCTCGAAAAATTAAAGCAATGACCGTGCAAGTTTGCCGGAACAGCGACACTTCGGTGTGTGCTTGTAGGTGGGTGGAGGAACGACACAGAGGCCACAGTGAGAAAGAGAACAGGAAGAGATCGTTAACCGGCTCGGTTATCAGTGGCGGTGCATTGGAAGGAAGAAAGCTGGAAGGCGGTTGGAGCGAGAGGAAGGAGAGAGGAAAAAAAATGGCTGAAAAAAGAAGAAGAAGGACGAGGAGGAGGAGCGTTGCTGTGGAGGTTAGAGGCGGGGTAGAGGTGGAAACGGAAAGAAGGAAGGAAGGAAATTCAAAGGTGGGACGTCGTCGTCGTCGTCGTGGACGGTTTCGTTGCCGCGAAGAAGAGATTCCTTTCTTTAAAGATCCACTCTCCTCGTTCCTCCGAGAAACACCAAACCCCTCGACGCCATCACCCCACCAACTTTCCCATTCCCTTCTGCTCCTCCTGTTTCGTTTCTACTTTTCCCCCTTCAATCTGACTGCCTCTCTTTCTTGCCCGGTTCTCGTCGTTCATGGAAAAGACGCTTCGAAATATCTTCCAGTTATAGAGGCATTATAAGTGCCGCGGGGAATAAACAGCCTTAAGTGCGCGCACCGCGATGCGTATCGGCTTTTCCCATTACAAACCTGAAAAGACGCCGTCGCCGTCGTCGTCTTCGTCGTCGACGACAGAGTCGACCTTACCCCGTACCCCGTCCGTTCGTCTCTCCTTCGCGACTCTCTCTCCCGGTGTGTGTGTGCAGGCTCTTCCATTTTCACCTCTCGCGCCCGTAACCAACGCGCCCCTTCGACCCCGCGACGCTGTCGCGGTCGCATGGCTGCGTGCCAGTTGCAGCTTGCAATTGCAGCCTGCATATCTCAGCTAGCGAGGACGAAGAAGAGAGGAGAGAAGAAAAGAAGGAATAGGCTAGGAGAAACGCAGGTGCAAATAGGAAGTATAACGCGAGGGGGATGATAGAGAAGACAAGGGGATGGACTCGTGCCCGAGGAAGTCGAGAGTCGACGTAGACGACGGGTAAGGTACAGCCGATTACCGTTTTCGCTTGGTTAATTATTCGGAATTGAGTTAATTGCAACTTGATGAGATCCTACCCTCGATGGATCGAATCCGCGAGACGTTCGAGGAGCTTAAAACGTCAACTTAATCGGCTGCTCTCCGGACCTCTCCAGCTGGGTATCCTTTTCGTTTCTCCGCCGAGAGAGAGAGATATTTCATTCTCGTCGACAGAGAATTATCGTTTTCCCCCTGTATCGCCAGTTCCCTTCGATCCCTTGTATTTCAACCCTTCCACGTGCAACACACCCCACTCGGTTCTCATGGTCCCGCAATAACAACTTTTCCACCGCTACTTTTTCGAGGATTTAAACTTTCCACGGCGCTACTTTCCAAGTAAAAACGTCCTCTCACCCCTCGCCACCTCTCCCTCCTATCCTGAAGCGTCGCGACGTGGAACGTCGTCACCGCGACGGTGGCGGCGCGAGTTGTTAGCGGCACGTGCACCGGCAAAACCGGCGGAAAAGTGGGAGGCCCTATATGGAAAGTTTGCCGCAACTTTGCTGATTGTATTGAGCGAGCGATGCATAATCCAATGGAACGATGACGGGAAAGACGTATGGGGATAAAAAGCACGGTACTATGGGCGCAAGCTTCCGCTTGTCTAAAGGGGTGTACCTTGCAAGATTTCCCGAGTAGGTTATGTAAAATCTCGGGAATATGAAATTTGATGTGAAGGGTAGATGGCTCGGAGGATATTGTCATAGAGAATCATAAGATTATTCAATATGTAGAAATGTGCGTAATAAACGTAGGCACTTGAAACGAAGATTCTTCCCTCGGTGAATTTATCTTTCTCTCATCCTGTCGTTTACAAATTAGACACCTGATGTTTATAGCTCGCTCTATCGGGAAACAGAAGTATCCACGGAGATGTCGCGCTAAAGTATTAAATTAAATGAAATTAAATCAAATACTAACAGGGTTGAATTTTTTCACATTTCCTTTTTCGTTTAACGTGAACACTTCCGAAACGGAAGTTTCGTCACAGGAGAAACCTATTCTTCGACTCGATGCCCGCGACAAATATACGCAAATCAGGGACACGTTCCTGCAATTGAACAATTTAACGTGATTTTTCAAACGACACGTCAAACTCCTCGTTTCACGTCCCCACGTAAAACTCGTCGCGACCAAAATGAACGAAAGATCACAATTAATTAAAGCGTGCGTCGATGGTCCGAGCGTAGGTGCGTAAACGTGTCGACGAATTAATCTCCCCGAAATAAACGTTGAAGCGGAAGATCTAGGCGGGAGGAAGGTAGCGCGAGGTGGTTCCATTTCGCGGCAGAATAGTTTTGAAACAGGAGCCCGCCGGCCCGACACCCTTTCCAGTTACACGGACATTAAAAGTACTACTCAGAGTGGCAGCAGTTATATATAGAGGGGTGTAGAGAGGTTGGTGTCGAGGGAGGTGAGGGCCAACGTTGGAAGCTAAAACAATTAGCCGCGCAGCAGTTTCCACGAGAGGGGGGTTAAAAAGGGGCGGCGGTCGAGAGGGGTGTGCAGGTACGGGAAAAGTCTCTGATTCACGGAAATTTCTCTTCCTTTTCGGAGGCTAGACAGGGCCCGGGTTCTCGCGAAAAATGTAATTAAATCTCTTTAAAGCGGGGCACACTCGTTAACGAAGTTTAGCCGCTTAGGCGGAAAGAAGCTCGATCAAAAGTACGACTCGCGGCTGGATACCTACTTCTTTTACCTTACTTTTTCCTTCCTCTCTACCATCTTTCACCCTACTCCACCTCGAAACGTTTCCTATTTACCACACCTTCAAGCTGTCTTCGTTCCTTCTTCCCCCTGTTCGAGTGTACACTGCCGCTCTGCAGCCATTTATGACGCGCGAGGGAAGGAAACGTTCCACGGTTGCCTGGTCAAAAGACGACTCGCAAATTCCTTCGAATTAGTCTAATGCGTGTTCGTTTCGACGGACTGTTTGACGTTCGAGATGGTAGATCGAGATTGGGTGAAAGAATCGACGGTGGTATGGATACGGAGATATCGGTTCGTCGATTATTAATAGGAGCAATTTTTGGACATACACGTATAATGTATCATTTATTATGAAAATCTAATTTATTACCGATGGTATTGAAAATTTGAAAAAATGATGAGCACTCTTTTAGTTTGAGTGATTTTTGCTTTTACTAAATGGAACGTTGTTTCTTTTTTACTCAAGTGTGTAGGTTATTCCACGACGAGTTCATTGACCTATGACATGTGGTCTTTCAAGATTATCTAAGGTCATTTAACGATGCCTAAAAATACACTTTCACGGAAAATTTTTAGTAGATAATCGCGTAAATATGTTACGAAGAGACACCCTGTATAATGCATGACATTCAATACTCGATACAACTGATAATCGTGAGTGACCTGAAAGAGACTTAAAAACATTCACCTGCATTAATGAACATGCAGCATTTTTATATAATCGATGGCTAATTATAGAAAGAATAAATCTGCATATTTCAAGATCGAATAAATTGAGTAACACGAACGGAATCATACGAGCTACCCAGTAACTTTAATCTACTCACGCGAACGATTGCCCTTTAATTTAACCCTTTCGATCTACTCCCGGCAAGTTTCTTTCGAATAACACAAACGTTTCGTGAAAATCTGAGGTTAGCCTTGAAAACGATAAGATCGGGGGCAACTTAAAATACCGAAATTGCAGGTACTCCGCTGCAACACCGACCGAGATAGAATCAAAACGGTGCAATCTACCGTGTGCTATCGCCTAAACGTAAACGTTGGCTCTATTTCGGAATCGGTGCAATCTCACGATCTACCCTTCTGCAGCTGGTATTTTTCGATCGTACTGGAAAGGGGCACTGGTTGTTCGGTTACCAAAAAGGTACAGCCAGTCGTTAGAAAATCGAAATCTGCCAAGCTTATAGGAGCATCGAGTCAACGACACTTACCGCAGGGCCCATCGATGCACAGGCACGTTCCACGTTCTCCAGAAAACCTCGATGTTAGGGGCGTTCCACCAGTCGTTGTAGAAATTCCGATCGGCGAAATACAACAGTTCACCGGTCATGTTCAGGGCCGAATGGTACAGCAGGTAGAAGAAACAGAGCCAGATTAGATGATTTGGTATCTACGAACATATGGAGGCATATACCTGTATAGATATATAATTTAGGGTGTTTCAAGAGTGTAGATGGGAGAATTAATATTTGTGGATTAACGTTTTGTGAATTAATTTCTCAAAATTTTGTGAAAATTAATTTCATTCACAGTTTTGCGCGAGAGTATCTTCTTTTTAAATCACAGTTTCCTAATTTGGAGAATTCATTTTCATATATTAATTTCTGAAAACTTCTGTGAATTAATCATTTCAGAATTCGTTTCTCAAAACTTCTGCGTGAATTAATTTTTTTAGAATTCGTTTCTCAAAACTTCTGCGACTTAATTTCATTTGCAATTCTGCCATGAGTATCTTCTTATTTTTAAACTGTTCATTATGAAAATGCATCGTATCACGTTCAAAGTGTCCAGTCGAACAACTGAATCACACCTGAAACAGTTAATTTCTGAACACTCGTTCACCAAGCATCCCTGTTACCCTTGGTCGACGACCCACGCTCCTGAAGCACCCGGTATTCATATAAAAACGCGTCTTTGGAGTTACAACGTGGATCGTATATCACAGGGCGTACATTTATTTAGGGAACCAGCTAAATGGAAGTCGCTTTCATCTCTTTTATTACCGCCAGTGAAAGGTTTTCCGCGCGACGTGCACCGTAACACGCGTCGATCCTTGTTAGATCACAAAAATGTGTATAACACACGCGGCGGCAGTCGTATAGCCGACGGCCAATATTTTATTTCCTTTTGTTTCGTATCTTTGTAGAGGGACGAGAGAGAGGGAGGGAGAGCTACAGAGGACTCGTTAATCCAGCGCAAATTCACGTCTCTCGATATTCCATTCCGATAGCCCCGAGGCGTGGAGGGCTCATGCAATTTCGCGTAATTCTTAACCAGTGTCAGCAGACACAGTGCTCTAGCCTACGGTTTCGAAAGATGAGCAAACGGAAGCAGAAGAATAAGAAGAAGGGAAATGTGATACTCCTCGAGGCGTAACAACGTGGCTTATTCGCCTACTAGAATACTTAAAACGACCTGCTAATGGCTATACAAGGAACTAATGGAACGCGGTGAAGGAAAAAAGAAAGAATCATCCTTATTTACACGAAAACTCCAACTGGAGGTAATTTCGTGGGTCTCGTTAAGGCTCGTTCTTCCTAGACGTCTTCGTGGTATCTCCGAAAAATTGCCACGAAATAATATCCAACAGACGGAGGCAGCAGGTGAAAAAAAAAGACAGCCTGACGAGATGAGGCGAATTCTTCCGGTCTGTCTCGCTCGTGGTCCGTCCGAAGAATTTCCAAGTTATTTCGTTCCGAATGTCTTCTCTAATTCTTCAGCAGGTGGGGAAGGGGGATGCAACGGCATCCTCGTTGCTTCCTGCGGCTCTTTACGCGCTCCAAAGGACTTAATAATGTTGCCAGGGCGCACAAAGGTCAAGTCTCTTCTTGCCAGCAGGCATTCGCGGCACTTTTATGAAAAGAGAGGGAGAAACGACGTTCCTTCTTCTTCACCAGGGACCCAAACAGCCTTGGCGACTCTGTCTCTGGCCCTTCTCCCTTTCATCAACCCCTTTTCATCATCGTCTTGTTCTACACGACCGGTGGTCCACGTACTCCCCGCAAAAACTTACCTCGACGTTTTAATTTCGTTTACCCCGGCATGCCGCAAGAGAAGAAAGGGACATTGCACGAGACTCCCGAGCCACGAAGCGAAGGAAGGGCAGCAGGAGCGGGGGTGGGAGGGGATAAAACCCCGGTGAACCGTTTGAGACACGCCGATGATACCACAAAGGAAAAAGGCAGGCCGGGGTAAACTTTGAGCCTCGGCTTCCTGGCCAGGGGCTATCTCAGAAGCGAAACACGCCTTCGTATTCTATCCACCCCGAGGTAGCACGTAGCAGCCCACCGTCAAGGGGGAAAAATCTTGGCGGATGATATGTGACGTGGTAAAGCGGAGAGACCGGCGGGAATTTGAATTTTCTCGGCTCGTTTGCTCGCCTCGTGTGGCAACGAAGTTTTCCTATTAAGCCTGCTCTTTTCAATGGACTAGCCACCGTACCCAGCTCTAGAGCTTCTACGCTGTCCAGGGTACACGCTTTGTTCTATTTTGCGGGGTGCGAACATTTTCGTACCATAAGGAAATTTTACACTATACGGTGTTTTCTTTGTTCGATGGATTTTACGCCTTCTTTGACGGACGATGTTTTAATCAGCGGAGAATGTACCGGGTGGCTTACTTGTGAAGAACGTTTAAGTCGTTTTCGTTGATATTTAACGTAAGAAAGAACGAAGTAAAAATCTTTTCGAGGTTACCTTCATGGTTATTCCAAGATTACTGAAATTTTCTTTTGTAACGACATCTGCACTTATCTACAGAAAATTGAAAGAGAATTTCACTTGGAGGGTGTTTTCGAACCACATTACGCGACAGAAGAAAAATTGTTTTAAATTTCGACAGTATCAGAGTGTACAGGAAATAAAATGTTTCAAGTGTGAGGAAAGTGTGACAAGAGCTCGATACAAATGTGGGATTCACAATTACTGGAAGCAACGCGTGGTCAAACATATCAATTCCTCTAACCAAACGAAACGTACGTGCTTATATTTCGTATCAAATATTAGCGCACCGAAGATTGTACTGTTATTAAAGCAATATTTTTTCAACGGATCGTCTCATGGTTCAAAGAGTAGAACGTAGAGAAAGAGAGAGAGAGAGAGAGAGAGAGAGAGAAAGATCGATTCCTGATAGGAGGACGTCCTTGTATCGCTTGGCGTCCTGGCGGAGAAATAATGACAAGGTTAAAGGATCGGGCAATTTCGCCGTCATCTCAACACGACGTCTATAAAGTTTGCTCAATTTTTCTCCCGTTCCTGATTGTTATTCTTACATCCCGTTCTTCATACGATAACAGCTACTCCTCTCTCTAGATTACACAGCCGCGCAGACCTTGCCGCTGCTGCTGCTGCAGTAAATACTACGTGACGTGCTCCCGCGGGGGCACCAGTGAACGGAAGGAAAAAAAAGAGAACCGAAAAAATAAGGGAATGAAAGTGAAACGTGGGGTCTGGAAGAAAATGGAAAATATCGATTAGCGGGGTAAAAAATTGCCAGCCATTTTCTACACCGTCCTTCGCAATAAATAATATTTCGTTTGTGTGCAGGATTTTGAGAAATTTTCCCTCTGCAATTAGTGTCCATCACACATTTCTCATTCGTGATAAACGATACTCCATCTTCGTATATAATTTGAAGAAATTTCTTTGCAACGTAATCGCTTCTTGTAATATCATTAATTACTGTTCGTAGTTAAGAAAGATTTTCTTCCCATTTCCCCAGAAAATTTTAACAAAATCTTGTCACCCAAATTTTTCAAAAATCTTCTAACAAAATTTCACCAGAATCTTCCTCCACTTTGGAAGAAACAAAGATATTTCTATCCCGATAAAAAGGTATCTCGAAACGAAAGTGAAGAGAGCATCATAATCCATCGAACAGACGTGCTACGAGACAGATCGTCCACAGCAACTACGCGCCCTTTTCCCCATGCCGGGCTAATGGTACCAGCCTCCTTGTTCGTGTCTATATTACATTCAGCCATGGGTAAGTACATATCGGATATTCAATGGGACCTCCTCGTCGTATTCCTGAATCCAATATAGCTGCATTATTGATGGAAATCGATCGATCGTTCGTTCCGTATATATGCATAAAGCACACATTACGGCCAAACTCAGGACGACCTGCAACGAACCAGTGGTAGTACAGAGCATCCAGTAACGGTGGGGAAGAGTCCAAGACACTCTCGGTCTCGCAAGGTCGACGGATAAAAGAGCAAAGAAGCCTCCTGTGTATCCCTTCAGCGTCCTCTCTCACCTGGGCCCCTCTTCCTTTTTTTTTTTCGTCAGGAGGGTCGGTCGTCGCGAGCGGAGCGCGTCAAAGAGATTCCGAAACGAGGAGACGAGTGGACGGAACGAAGGGACGTGCTCGTATAAAGCAGATCGATCTAAGGAAACGACCTCGTTGGCAGCGGACTGCAGGAAAATTGCGTTTCCCCATTACGACGAGATTAAAGTCTCGTCCTACATTGCAGCTCCAAACCCCCTCTCCCTCTCTCTCTTCTTTCCCGCTCCCGTTGATCCATCGTCTTGGTCCAGGCAGCAGGATCCCTCTGACCCCGAAGTTCAGCCCAACGTTCGTATATAAGAACCGCAATTAACCGAGGCACAGTCGATGAGAGACTATAGCCTTGCAGTTATTTGCGGTGTAAACGAAAATAAGGATTCGCCTGCATGAGGGTTGTTTATCCAATAGGTGGCTTTCTCTCCTTCTTTCGTTTTCTTCCCGAGCTTTCTTTTCTCCGCTATAACCCCCGCAAGACCTTTCTCCTACGTTCACTGATTTCGCTGCTCGATCGGCAAACAATTATTTTTCCCGCTTCGAACCCTCACCGAGCGTGGCGCAGAGCGCGAAGAGGGTGGAGAACAAGAGGGGACAAAAGGAGGCGCCCGGAGAATGAGCAATACTTCTCGGTGGCGTGACTTATGAGATTGGAAGAGGAGTTTTCGTTGCGCTCGCCTCGAGGTACCTTCGTCCAAGGACCACTTATATTTCCTGGTTGGTTCGAGTCGATATCCCCTCTTAAGGGCGATTATTACTCGTCGATTTCATCTTTCAGATCGAATCTCCCACTGGTAATGCTATTTCCTTCCTTTTTTCTTTTTTTTTTTTTTACAGGGGAATTATTTGATAGTTACGCAGCGATGGTTTGTGGTTTTTGGTTCGATGATTTAGAGAGATAGTGTGCGTGTGTGCAGGAGAGTGCTCGATATTTTTTCTCGACGGGAGATGGCAGAGAGACCAGCCAGACCGTTGTTTGCACATCGAGCCGCAGACGTCGATAATTAATGACGCGATGGGTCCAATTAACTGGCGCCCGGGAAAAATTTGTTAACGAAGCTCGTCGATGCGTGGCTTTTTGGCCGACGCTTTAATCGCGAACAACCAACAACGCGCGGTGAACAACGAAGGGGGTACTATTATACACGCTCCAGGAGGACGTTCGTGGTAGTCGCTTTGGGACCAAGTCATATAATTGAATTCGGTTCACCGAGTCCGGCTCACTGATCGAAACACTACGGCTGGCTAGTTTCGATCTGGAGCATTCGGACTAACGAGAGAATAACGAGCACGAGTAACGACGAACGAATGGGGAATCGGGCCGTCGGCCTCGACGGACGTCGCGGCGGAGTGCCTCTAACACAAACCGGCAAGACGCCCGGCTAATATACAGGGTGGGCGCTTGAGGAACGGACGATGGCACTTGGAGTTTCAAACTGTGTCGTTTGAGGGAAACAGAAGTGCCGTGTATAGTTTGATAAAGCTCGACTAAAACTTCAGAGGTGTTAGTTAACTGAGGAGCAATTTCGTCTAAACGACCATTTCTGATTTTCGTCAAATTTCTCACGTACCGTGTCGCTTAAAAGTGCCGCGAGCTTGGGTAAACGTTGCTCGAATATAGAAAATAGCGACTGAACGCGATCTTTGTCACTTTCTTGCGAAATTCAAAATTATTTACTCACACCTTCGTCGTTGGATAGCCAGAGTATTGACGAATATTTGGAGAGTACTTTTTATTTATCGATATCTGAATTAAACGGGTAAGAGCTGTCTTCACGCGTGAGGGGAGAATTAATATTCGAGCGTATTAATTTTCCTCTCGCCTGAAAGTACCTTTATGAAATGTAGAATTTAACAGAAAAGTGTTAAAAAAAATTACTATATGCAAATATTTCGTTATCTATTATTTTTATTTTATCAATAAATTAATTTCAAAATCTGGAGTACTTGACGAATGCAAAAATTCGTCCACGAATTCCTCCCTCCGCTTTAAAATCGAAAAAAAAAAAAAAATCAACGCGTAAGAATCACCCTGTGTGCACAGGGCATTACTTCGTACGCGAGTGGCGCGTTCGTATTTTTCCGCGGCCTGAAACCAGGGGGAATATATTCTCCTTCACGAGCCAATTGATCCTTCATTTATCGTCCGTTCGTTTGCCGTTCGATTGGCCTCTGAACTGTAAATGAGGACGTTCGCGCAAAAAGACGAGCGCTTCGAGAGCGTTCGCGCGCGACCCTTTCGACACCCGGCGATATTAAACATTCCAATCGTCGTGTGTGTATTAGCTATAACACACAACTGTCACAGAAATACCACTGCGTCGACCATAAATCCGTGTTCACACGTTCCCTCTGCGCCCGAATTAAAAATCCTTCGTCCATTATCGGTGACACGGGTTGCTTATTTGCACGACACTTGTTTTTGTTCGCGCGCGCGCGCACGTTCGACCACGCGGCTTTCACGTTAATACAGGAAAATGTTGCGGACAGTATCCAACTGGAAAAGCCATTTTTCTGATTACCCTTCCATTAATGTGACCCTCAGCCCTCGTTTCGGTACAATGGCTTCTCGCGAAAGGGGAGAGGAGGAGAAGGTTGGAGTGAGGAAAAACAACGTACCACGGTATTACATTATACAGAATTAATCTAATGGTTTTTATCGCTGATGATGGACGTTGTTCCTTTGATACGGCTGTTTCACGCATCGCGGGACCCATTACAACATACGCTAGCACCCGTGTACGCTGTTATCGCTGTAAACTCCAAGTGAAAATTTTAATTAACGCATTGAAAGCAGATAGTGGCAAAGTGAGAGGGTATATCGAGCCGTGGCTTTAATGGTATCCGCAAATGTTACGTGTCAAATTATGAGGCTGTGTTTTCCGAGTTTACGTCGACGGTTATGGGATAACGTGGTTATTTCCCGCTCGAAATCCGATAAAATTCACACACACACACACACTGCGCGCAACACCAAAGCTAGGCAAGCCCTTTGTGTACCAACTACGCCCGCGAGAAATCGTCCGATCCGAACAGATTTTCACGCTACCGGAGCGTTTCACGCTTCGCAAACACGTCGTACAATCGACTCTATCTCGAGAGGAATAACGTCCGTGGAATTAAGACGAGAAGAAACGGTGTTTCAGACAAAGAGAGAGAGAGAGAGAGAGAAACGGCGACGTCCAAATATCACCCCTCGAACATCTCGGTCGCGTCTCTCCCTTGAAGAATCAGTCAGGGAATACGAAGTTCGTAAGAGAATTATACGTGTATATACACCGTTAGCTGCTCCAATGTTCCCTTCCACTTCCGGAATCGACGAACCGACTCTCCCTCCGGAGGGAGGGAAGAGAGCGTCGCCTCCGGTTCACTCGACGGAGGAAAGAATATCTTATTACGATAATGTGGGGGAGGGCGAAGAATCTCTTCCCTTTAGGAACAGGGCTGGCTCGATTATCAATGGCGGCGGCAGCCAACAAAACACACGCCGCGTTAACCGGTGAAAACTCTGCTACACGCGGAGAAGTCTACGACTTCCGCGTGGGTTATAATTCACGCCTGAAGACCTGGTCCCGGTACACCGAGGCGAGCGAGGAAAGTTGAATCATGAATTCGTAGGAAAGTTTCGATAGATGGTGAGAGAGTAAGAGTAAGAGAGAGGGTGAGGATGCATTGAAACGCTCGTAGCCGAGCCACGTTCCGCCAAGACGAAAACTAAAGCGTTCACCGTGTCTATCCACGTGGCGGAGAGAGAGAGAGAGAGTGAGAGAGAAGGGGTAGGATTCGCAACGACGCGGTATTAAGCGGCGCACTTATCGACGACACGCCGCGACGTTGAAGATCGAACGACGACGACGCCTAGCGTAGGACCGAATTCGCGAACACAACGAAAAGGAGATTGAATTCGCAAATATTGCTCCGGGGCTTTCCGCCTAAGAGGTCTTCCAACGATTCATAGGGGGGAGGAGAGCCGGGTTCGATGGAGAACACGGGTGCAAGGATGTTACCGTGTGTGTGTGTGTGTAGAAAGTGCGAGATGAGAACGGGAAACGTTCGTTCGAGAAAGGTTTAGTAATTCCGATGAGAACGTGGCTCTCGATGTTTGCAAAGGAGTGTGTTGAAAAGTTCAATATAAATTAGCCTCGAGTCTATTCTTTTTAGACCTGGCAGATTCGTTGATTCCTCGGTGTTTACAACCCCAAGTTGCACGGATGCTGAGGAAATTTACAAGTATCGCCGACTTTCGTGAAACTCACGTATGGTGTGGTTCGCGAAAAAATATTTTACACGTGTTTCTTTTTATTGGTTGATTTTCATTTTAAAGGGGTGCAGAGTGTCCTCGAAGATAGGGCACCAAAACGTGTTTGGTCCAGTATCTCGAAAACTGTTGGAGATAGAGAAACGGTTGAAAGTTGAGATTATGTGTTTCTCCGTGACAAATTCACCTGTGTAATTAATTTTCAGAAAAATCCATTTGTTTAAACAATACATTAAAAATTCGTACTTTTCATCCAAAATATTAATCCATTTTGCGACTGATAGTCGGACGAATGCCAGAAAGACTAATCGACGAAGTAACAAATTCTCCGCACGATCTGATCAATTTTTCAATACCATAGTTTTACGTCGACGCGAACGAAACCTGGAGAAAAGAACGCTCCAACCCGTTGTCTCCAAGCGAAACTAAATTACCCCTCGGTACAGCACCGAGAAACCCGAATTATGGCAGATTTAATCTGAGTTTAATAAGTTGAATAGTCTAGTACTTCCGGTCGACAGCGTTCGTCTGCTCTGCTTCCGATCGTATTGGATTATACTCACGGCTAGTTTCAGCAACCGCTCGGAGGCCTTCGCCACGTCCATGTTCTGAAATATAAAACAAGGTTCGATTATTAATTCGAAGAAAGCCACATAAGCGGTAAATACGATTGAAATTGGGAAGTTGTAGGAGCCAGGCGAGGTGGACGGGGAGGAGGAGATCCATTGAAACAAGGGGTGCAAAACGAAAGTTCCTAATTGGACTGAAACCTGCGGAATATGTAGCGTGGATTCGGCAGTTCGCGCGGAAATTTTTGCACAATGATTACGACCGAACACAGAGAGGGTGGCGTGTAATTAAAACATCGAAATAATTAACGGTGCTGACGGTTCTTGTAAGTTCACCGATGTAAGCGCAATCGTTGGAAAGTTGGTAAACGTTGGAGGAAATCGTTCAACCGAATTCACATTCGCTCGAATATCGAAACGGAGAGAATGTTCCTTATGACCGCGGGAGAAATCTGAACCACCCATCTCGAAACGTGGTTCACCGTTCGTGTAATAATTATTATTACTTTTTTCGGGGGGAGTGAAATATAGTTCGTCTGTTTTATTTCACGAGGGGAGTAAAAAATTGGCGCGTATTTATTTGACAAACATAGGAGAAACCATATAGACGCATTGGCGCGGCTATTATTATTTATATTTATTCGCAGCGGTATAAATAATCGAAATTGTCACGCTTCCCGTTCTATCTGTAGCCAGTAGCGATGAAAATATAGTGCATTTTTCTCCGCGAGACGAAGCATCGTGCGCTAAGCCATTGTAATTGAGGGTAATAAAGAGGGACGTTACATCTAAAAAGCCCTGAAATACGTTTTACCCATCGCCATTGTACCGTACACACGAGTCTGTTTCTGCCAAACAGATTACAAATCATTCCTCCCGTCTAATAGAAAGTTCGCAGCGTCGTTGCTGTTCTCGTTCGATGAAAAACGGAGAAAAGAACAAAAGAGCTTCGATAATTCTACTTGAAATTGAAAAAGAAAACCGTCCGTTTATTTTACGGGGCGGAGAAGAATTCACGTTTCGCGAAGGGTAATGCAAATGACTAAAACAGCAATTGATAAACCGAATGGAGAGTACCCAAGTTCCACGGATTAACAGCGTTTGGTAACTGGGCGCGATGAGTGCTTGCGGTCGCTCGAAAGTATCCTCTTATTCCCCCATGCTCGAAAACGTCGAAGGAGCTTTCCAGCAATAGAACTGATATTTCGTGCGGTGTACTAATTGAATACAGGGGAAGGAAACCACCCCTCTGGCGTTCCGCTTAAGTGGCGGTTGTCGAGGTCTCTCCGAATGGCACAACACGAGAACCCACGGTGCTTATATACCCGGGCTTACAAATAAATACCTAAAGAGCCTCCTGTCGATTTCAACACGCCATTTCTACGTGCACACACGTATACACCTTCGTGTATGCTCACACAGGTGAACTACGTCACGCGTACACTGGCCTGTTCATAAACGCGAGGACACCAATTATGCTCGCACGGAAATTATTGCACGGTTTAAATTACATCTTTACGGTAAGAACAAATAAGAAAAATACCCTGAACGTGTATGTGTATGTAACTCAGTATTTCGCGAGTGAAGGGAAAAATTGATGGTACAATTTTACGAGGTTCTCGTTATTTCGAGTATTTGAGGGGGGGAATAGAGAGAGGAAGGTAAAGTATTTGGGAAAATACGGAATTAAGCGTGCAACGGGAAATGTATATGCATAATTCGATTTCGCTTCGGAGACAGCAATTTCGCGGACGTTCCGCAGATTAAAACGAAACTATGTATAATTATACGCATCCTGGGATTTGTAATTACAGTGGTTGATGCATGTTCGTTATAAACCTGAAGTATAATATTCTAATTTGTGGTGACCCGCGCGCGTGTTGGTTTCAAGTTCGAACTCCGGCATGGCCGTGACATTTGAATCGATGTTTAGAAACTATTGTTTCGCGCCGACGAATAAAAGTTCCCTGGAGTACGGGTAATTGGGTTTCGGCTAGAAAATACCGGAATGCCCGTCTGCTTGTTTCCACCTATAAATTCACTCTGCAGATGAAAAATCAGAGAATTAAGCATCACGGCGGAATCGTTTAACCGCGAACGTTCACGATTTTCCACGGAGTTTAATACTTAATGCGCGAAACAATTACTTCGTTGAATGGCTCGTATACGCGACGGTATGCGCGATAAACGAAATAACCGGTAATCGTGGCTGATATGGAAATAAAATGAAGCAGGTTTTTATTCATCGGCGAGGTATCAAGTTGGAAAAAAATTGTTGCCGCTGTTGCACGCGAAAATGTACACCGAACGAGCAACGAAAATTCCAAGGATCCTCCAAACATTTCCCCTTTGCAAAAATGAAAAATACATTTCGAAAAATTACACGTAAACTTCGATTTCGGTGAATTCTAGATGGTACTAAATTAACGAGTCAGGAAAAAAATTATATTTCCTTGAAATCGTAAAATTGGATAATCGAAATGAAGATGAAGAAAAAGTTAAAGGAAAACTATTACAAATATATCCTAGCAAGGCCTCACGTCGACAGTTGTGACAATTTTAAATAGTATTAAATTAACGAGTGAAAAAAAAATTAAATTTTATTGAAATCATAAAACTGGACAATCGAAATGAAAAGAAAAAAGTGACAAAAACTGTTGTAGGTATATTCTAGCAAGTCCTCGAGGTCAGCAATCGTGTCGATTCTAAACAGTACCAAATTAATGAGTAAAAAAAAAAATTACACTTCGTTGAAATCATAAAATAGGATAATCGGAACGAAGATAAAGAAGAATACAAAAGAGAAAGGTAAAAAAAAGAACTGTTGCAAGTACATTCCAGCAAGTCCTCGCGCTTTAAACAACCCCTTTTTAACCCAACTCCGTGGACGCAACAGGACGCCTCGTTCCTTGCTACAATTAATTACCACGGTGTAAATCTTCATGCTAGCATCACTCCATCGAGACTTCTTTCCCCTCAGAAACATCCCCGCAGGACCTAGTACAGAGAATCCTCTCTGAAACTCACCCCTTCTACAAAAAAAAAAGAAGGAGAAACCCCAGCATGAAAGACTCGAACGCAAAAAAATTGCGTCCACGTTCGACATTGGCCGATCTGAGGAAACCGAAAAAAAGAAAAAGGACTTGTTGAACCAGTCCGAAAACCCGCGGTATCTCGAACGATCGCGTTCCCATTTCCAGTTGAAAGGGTGCTTGGTTGGCTCGAGAGATTTCGCGAATGGATGGCGGGGCTTGAATCGCGTTCGCCGTACGACGGAGTAAGAAGGGGAAAGTGGAGAGGCGTTCGAAGTGAAAATAAAAGCAGGTTGCATCCGTGGATTCTCTGTGTCTCTCTGGCCCGTTTAAACCAGCTCACGTACACACCAAGAAGGGAGGAAGAGGAGAGGGTTGACACACGCGGCGAACTATCGAGCTCATTCTTTCGGTCTTTCGCTCGACGCCCTCAACGTTTCTCGGTCGCGAGCATGTGGATCGATCGTCTCTAGCCGGATCAAAGGCCAGAAACCTCCGCTGGAGAAGCCTTAGCGGGGTACAAAGGGTTATAATAAGCCGTCTCAGGCGAAAACGCGAACAGTCTCGAGGCTCTCTATGGAGCAGAGTCGTAACTCGAGACCCACTAGTGCACGTTGTCTACGCCACTGAAACTGAATACTGTGTTCCCGCTAACCTCCCCCTTACTTTCTTTCACAGCGCGACGAATTCTTCTTACAGTTCTGCGAGCGCAACTATAAGCACCTCGCCAACCGCTCTCCTCCTCTTCTGTCGACGATGGAACAGGAAAATGGTGAAGAGAGAGAGAGGGAAAAAGAAACTAAGAGATGCAAAAAGAGGGCATGAGAAACGGCTGGAAGAAGCCGTTCGTTCGTTCGTAGCTGGCGCAAGCTAGGACAGCTCCTGGGATGGAAGAGCTCGCCTCGCGCTATCGTTTCCTTCTTTCGACATCGTTTCAATTAGCGGCCGGAGATTTACGACTTTGCATCCACGAACACCTTCTTGTCGCGCTGCCGCGAGTATTCTCGAGATACTGGCAATTCACTCGGCCTCGAATTGAATTCCAAGCGAGGCTGACAATGGCGCGGCAACTAGGGGAACCTCGAGGTATATGTATATACAGTGGTACGTGTAGAAGCAAGTTTGTATGTGTGTGTGTGTGTGTGTTATATCTTTCCCTTCATCTCGTTCCGTCACTCGCGGCAGAAAAATTAGGGGTAATTTCGAGAGGAGGGTCGCGGCACATCTGATGTTGGCCCGAGCAAACGATGTGGAAAAGCCTCCACCCTTCTCTCTGCCTCTTATTTTTCGTCGAATCAATTCTCCCAGCTCTTGTCATTTATTAAACGTCATAACCGACGCAACGGTGCCTTTCAACGATGATGCGCAGCCAGGCCAAAGATCGACAGGGGTAGATTCGTTTTCGAGTAACCGTGAAACTACGTCTGTAATTGAATTCCCATCAGCGGTATAATAGAAAGTAATAGTTCTTATTTCATCTGTCAGATTCTTCTTCTTCTTCGCGCTACTTTCTATCCGCCGTGGAAGAAAAAAGGAAGAAACTAGCAGGATTGGGGAAGAAGAAATTAAGGTACTCGAGGTAGTAAGTATACGTTTTCCTCGAGTTCTCCAATCGACAAGTTTAGTTACAGTTCGATACTTCCACAAGGCGGTGGGGTTACCCACCCACCCTGATACCGCCTCGATGTCCGTTGTGAAAGGAATATTCATGGAAGTCCGTTAACGATCGAGCGAACAGGGCCTCAATTTCCGGCGTTCGAGATCAGGAAACAGCGTCGAGTCGACAAAATAGGATAGAACGCGGGCTGCTGCTTCAAGGCCGAGAAATTATCAGGCGAATACTACCTTTTCCATTCGTAATAATCTCAGCTGTCAGCCGGGTACCAGAGAGGAAGAGTATCGACTTTTCAGCCAACCGACGACAAGGTGAAATATTTTTACCTGTCCTATCTCCAACATCGACCTCTCCTTCATCTTCGCCTCCGATGAAACTGGACAAATATCCGG